ACTTCCTCAGTAAGTCTCTTGTGCGCCAGGGATGCTCAGATGCTGCCAGTGTTCTCCTCCTTGCTTCTGTATTGCTCTGTAGTGAACCATAGCAGAAGGTAGTTTCAAACAAGGGTACAGATTAAGCAGCTGATGAAGACCAAATGGGAAAGCTCTGTTAAAGGGGTAACAATGCTTTGGTCCCTAATGATGTTTTTCTTCTCTCAGGTATTGCTTTAGGCCAGACAACCACCACTGAGATCCCCACTGCATCAACCCCAGCACTTCCTGTTGCAACAACCAGCGCAGCCTCTGACTCCCCAAGTGCCACTGCCACGCTCCCAGCTGGGGTGGCATCAACCCCTGCAGCCCTCATTGCGTCCACAGCAGCTCTGTCTGCTGCTCCAAGCACAAACCCTCCTGCTCAGGCTGTGCCCACCACCATGGATGTGACCGTCCTCACCTCCAGCAGCACCGGCACCTCCCAGGTGCATACAGGACCGATGGCTGCATCCACCAGTGCATCCCCTCCAGGCATGACCGTATCTGTGGTCCCGTCAGCAGCTCCATCCCTCACCACCGCCAAGCCCTCGAACTGCAGCATGGTGAACGTGACAGCCTGTGCCCGCTGCTCCCCAGGGACAGCTCCCAGTGGAGGTAAGGGTCTGCTCGCTCAGCTCGTGCTGGGTGCAAAAGTGACTTGTCAAGGATGGTGTAACCAGGGGTTGTTCTTGTGTCAGAAGTCAGGCAGCATGAGTGGGACTCAATTCATTGCCCCTGTCTGATGTTAAGGACTTGGCCTTTGCTGGCCTTATGCTGTGGTCTTCCAGCAGGATGAAGAAGCAGTAGGGCTGTGGCACAAAGCGTAACAAGCACAACCTGGTTTATTGGCAGGACGCTGTTTTGAGGTGCAGTGGCAAATACAAGGACAGCTTCCAACCATCTGTCTCAAACGTTTGAAAGAGAATCTCTGCTGTGGAAACAGCCTTTTCACTTGGGCTTGAGAAACTACCAGATCAATCCTTGTTGTGGTCAGGAGTGCATGATGTCGCCTTTTCCACACATTATTTGTGGTGTGATGTGGTTGAGGTGTTTTGTTGGGGTTTTTGTGAGCACCCTAAAGTACCTGTTGTTCATTTCCCCCACTGCAGGGTGCGTTTGAAAAGAGGAATGAGCAGCTCTGCTGCTTTAGGGGAAATCCAGAGGACAGGAGTTAATTCCGACCTCCCTCAAGTGCAGGATGCTCATCCACAGGGGTTGTCCCTTCTTACCTGTGTGTGGTTGCTGCAGCACCAAGGGCAAACAGTGGGGTGGCAGGGCAGCAAATCCCACATGAGTACCCTGCACAGCTTGGGTTTGGTTTGGGAGCAGAGAGGGCTGGAGCCTGTGTCTGGTGGGAATGCCTTGGTGCCTGTGCTCAGAGAAAGGCTGTTGCTGCTTTAGGCAGATCCTCTGCTCTGGGGTTTTACTCTTCAGTTCTGCCTCCTGCAAGCCTGAACTGTCAGTAATCCAAGAAAATATGTTTTGGGTTGGGTTTTCTTCCCTTCCTTCTTTGTTTGTGTGTTAGATGGAAAACCAATGCTCCTCAAATTAAAGGAGAAAAAAGCAGGCATCTTCATGACCAGAAATCCATATTGACAGGCTTGAGACCTTCCATCACCTCACAGCTGTTCTCCAGCTTGCTAATGGTGCACAACAGCATCATTAGCATTGATACTACAGTTTCCATCCTCTAAGACTGCCTTGCTGGAATGGTTGCATTGCAACCCATCTGCACCCACAGAGGTGACCTGCCCTGCCGAGCACAGGGGTTTATGTCAATGCTTATAAACCTGATCCTGGCTTTTTTCTTCCAATTCAGGCACCTTGAGCTGCTCGTGCTGTGCGGGGGGCTCGTGCACAGACCCCAGTGCCTGCACCCCCTGCCCTCAGGGCCACTACCAGCCCCAGAGTGGGCAACCATCGTGCCTGCCTTGTCCACAGGGGCATTACACCAAGTAAGTGATGAGCTCTGGGGCACGGGATGGTGGATGCGCTTCCTTAAAGCACTTTGCAGCCAGCAAGATCTCCTCCTTTTGGCTATGGGGAAAGTGCTGCCAGGGTTGTTTCCCAGTGGGAAGCACAAGGTGAAAGTGTGTGCCTCTGCAGCACTGCTGAGTTCTGCTCCCCAGGAAACCCTGGTGTGGACATGCCTGTGCCAAGCAGCGGCCCAAGCTCTCTGCAGGCTGTCTGATTTTTACCCCATGGTCTTTTGTATGTATTAGGAGGGAATACGTTTGGTTTTGTGATGGGGGACACTTGGGAGTGAGGTGTGGGTTCATCTCTTCAGCTGTCCTCTAGGATACCTCTGGCCATCTAGCTTCAGCTCTGTGCTTTGCCCAATTGCTTTTGCAATCCCTATTTTGTTGCCTCCAAGGGATCTCATCACACTTAAGTCACTGGCACCTAAAGCAATGTGTTAGCTGATCCAGTGTGGAAGAGCTAACATGATTTCCCAGCCAGAAGCCCGGCCTTGCAATTCCACCAGGCTGCCTCATCCAGGATGCTGTACATCTGCATCACCAGGATGCTGCACCAGTGTCCTCTGCCTGCGAGGACACACGGATGCACTGCTCTCACCGTTTCCCATCAGCTTGTCCCTCTCCATGTCCAATACCTGCTGCAATCAAATGGAGTCCTTTGGCCCTGGGGCAGCTGCAGGGACAGGAGGGGTGGCGAGAGCTTCCCAGCATCATGTCCCTCACAGAGCATCTCCATTTGGATCAGCCCTGGGGAGAGGGAACAAACCCCTCTGATGGGACCATTTAACATTTGTTGTGGGATTTGGAGATCCAGCATTCCCTGAGCTTGGAGCAGCTCTGGCTGGTGCAGGCCCTGTGTTGTTTTGTTTTAGGCAAAGCATTGGTTTTGTTTCCAATTGAGGTGTTTCCCCCCCCCCCCAAATCTTGCTCTGCTCTGGGGTTTCCAAAGGAATTAAGGAGTTTGTCCTTGTTTTCCTCCAGAGCATCCCTATGTTAACAAATGCTTACATCTACATGCTTGGTGATGGGGGTTTGGCTCTGTTAGTGATGAATGCAGTGGCTTTCACCTTCCTCTCCCTCTTTTCATCCCCTTCCTCCTGGAGGACTAACACTACATCCCCTTTCACAGAGTCCCTGTTATTTAAGGTCAGGCCTCTTGCACATCACTGCTTGTGGTTTAGCTCCCTATTTCACCTCCCGAGTGACCTGACTTTGCACAATGGAGCAGCTCCTTGTAAAACTGCTGATGGATGCTGAGCATCAAGCACCTTTCCAATTCAGTTCCATTTCCAAGTGTGCATTTAGAAGCCTGTCTTTAAACCAAGGTTTTAAGCTTGGATATAACACATTTCTCAAGACCCAGAATCCAGGCTCAGAACCCATCTCTAATAACACAAAGTTTGGTTTGTTTTCAGTGAACCCTCACCATTCAGGCGAGTCCAAACTGTTGTTTTTCTGCCTCCTGCTTTATAATTGCTCTGTATGCTCTGCTCTCTCCTGTGAGCGGATACAAGCTGGCGTGACCTGAACCAGCGCTCACTTCTGCTCCCTTCTCTCTCAGCCTCACAAGGAGCACCACCTGCATTCCCTGCCCGCCCGGCCACTTCACTAATGAGACCGGGGCCGCAGCCTGCAGAGCCTGTGACAAAGGTAGGGTTTGTATTCAACCCAAGCGTGCTTCCGTCGGGCTCCGTGGTGCTGTTTCCCCATGGCCAGATGCAATTACCTGGTACCTTGAAAGCACTGAAGAGCACACAGGTTATTTTGTTCGGGCTAAAAACGGAACGGCAGAGCTCTTCCTAGTCTGTTATTGACATTTCTGTTGAAATGGAAAGAACGGATCTCGGAGTCACGCTCCTGTTCGCAACAAGCTCATGTTAATGCTGACACTGCAATTGGAAGCCTTTTCCAGAAGGAAAGGTTTATGAAACTCGGTTATAGCACAAGGTCTCAGGAAAATAAAGTATTCCCCCATTTTTAATGGCAAAAATGAGTTAAACCATCTTTGCTTTTAGTTCTTCTGCAGTCTGAATATTAAATGTAATACTCTCCTTATGCCCCAGACATCAAACCCTGGGTTTTCAGTGAGCTGCTTTGCACTTGGCTAATGCGGTACGAGCCTGGTACAATGTGTTCACAGAGAGCATAAAACATGTTCAAAACAGACCAGCATTTACTTATGCAAAAGCCTCATTAACACATGCAACACAGCAGCTATTCCGTACACACATCAAGTGCTCCTCACGCATACACAACTGTTGTTGTGAACGTCCACCCACCAGACTCATTGGCTGGTACCTATGTCTTGGCTATCGCTTGCTAAGGCTGGGAGGAGCAAAGTCTCACTGGTGGTATCACTGCACTGCCTTTACTGAGCAAATTGAAGCACCCTGTTTAGGCCACAGAGGAGTCTATGGAGGCGGCCCCTAAATCACACGATCATGAATTAGGAATGTTCCCTTTTCCTTGCAGGGAGAGGGAGCTTGTTCTGGTTTCACCCTGCTCTGCTGCAGCCCCCGCTGCTGGTTGTAAACCTGAGCCACTATGAAGGCTGTGAGGCAGATCTTAACTGTGCTGCTTCAGCTCCTCTGTGAGCACTGGCACCTTAGTTCTGTCCCATGGGTGCCTGTTGCAGTGTGTGTTGTCAGGCACCTTCCCGGAACCATCTCAACTCCCAAATGTTCTCCTGCCCTCAGCGGTTTCCTTTGGTGGGGCAAGGACTTGGAAGCTGGGTCCTGCCTGTCCCCCGTGCCCACACCAGGGGTGTTTCAGGGCATTCACTCCTGGTTGTGCTTTGGGGAAGGGTCGATATGCATCCCCCTGCCCTTTGGGGTGGTGCAGGGAGAGCAAACAGCAACACATCCTGGTTGGTGGCTCCTGTGTCCTCCCCTATGGGGGGGGGGACGGGGAGGAGATGCACCCCAGAGTTCCTCAGATGGGGGAACCCAGAAATTGGCACTGGGATCATAGGATCATGGAATGGTTTGGGTTGGAAGGGACCTTAACGCTCATCCAGTTCCAACCCCCTGCCACAGGCAGGGACACCTTCCTCTAGAGCAGCTTGCTCCAAGCCCCTGTGTCCAACCTGGCCTTGAACACTGCCAGGGATGGGGCAGCCACAGCTTCTTTGGGCACCCTGTGCCAGCGCCTCAGCACCCTCACAGGGAAGAGCTTGTGCCTAAGAGCTCATCTCAATCTCCCCTCTGGCAAGTTAAAGCTGTTCCCCTTGGCCTGTCCCTACAGGCCCCTTTAGGATCACCTGTTCCAGCTCCATTCCAGTTCAAGTTGTTGTGCTGGGAATGTTGTGCAGGTCTCTCTGTCTCCCTGGCAGGGCTTTGTATGTGTGAGTGACAGCAGGGAAACCTGCCCAAGTCCCCTGCGCTTCTTTTAGCATGACAGAAACATTTATGGCTCTTTCAGGGCTATTGACAAATAGAAACCCAACCATCCTGCATTAGCCCATGAACTAGCACCTGCAGTGTGTCACAGGGAGTTGTTTGGTTGCTTGCAAAATGGAGCTGAGCAAATACACAACGAATTGGGGCAGTGACAGTGGAGGAAAGATCCTGAACCCTTTCCCTTCTCTTTTCCAGGCTATTTCAGCTCCAAGCAGAATGCAGCTTTCTGTCTGCCTTGCCTGCCTGGATCATTCTGCAAGTAAGAAGTGTGCCTGTGGTGCTGCTGGCTCTGAGGTGCACAGGGAGGGGTGGTTTTCTTATAGCCACTGAGATAGAGTAGCAACGTAGTGGCCCAAGGCAAATCACTGCTTGTTCAGCTGTAGGGACATGGGTGCTGACCCTGGGGAGAGAGGGATGGCACGATGAGTGGTGGGTCCTGGCAGGATGCAGACCTCTTCATTGCACCTTCCTCATCACACCCCACTGACAAACACTGATACCATCGCAGCGATGAGCTGAGCATCGCGCTGGGCTCTGCAGATTGAAGCTGAGCTGGTGTTTATTGGGTTGGGATGCACAGGAGGAACTAGCTCGAGTGCCCTGGCTGAGCTGTCCCCTCTGGGGAGGGGAGAGGTGCTGGTGGGTGCCTTGCACTGGGCTCTGCTCCCTGCCTGTAGAGATGCCTGCACGGAGGCTGTGGGGCTTACACCCACGTGTATAACCCAGACCCTGCCTTGAGCTCATCTGTCCCGTGTTATGCAGCAGGTCTGTGCTGACCCTGGATTAGTGCCACAAGGCTGGAACCAGGGGTTACCCAGCTCATCACAGGTCTGTCTGCCAGCCCCCTTCAGGAAGCCCATTGACCAGCTCCAGCCAAGTTTGCTAGGGAATGGCCACTTCTGGGATAGCAGATTCCTACACGTTCCATGGCCACAAGCAACCGGGAGAGCTGGCTGTGGTGGGCTGGTGTCGCAGTGCTTGTCCCCAGTGTTTTCTGCCTCCTCTCCCCTCCCAGCACCACCAGCTGCCCCACGTGTCTGCCTTGTCCTGCGGGGCAAGAGGCTCTTCAGGAGGCATCGGAGCAGTGCGTGCCCTGCCTGCCAGGTAACTGCCATAGCCCCACTGGGAACAGCATCAGCTCCAGGGGTGGCTCATCCCGAGACCCATCTGACCCAGAGCGCACCACTGCCCTCACAGGGATGGGAGGGTGCTGGATGGGGGTTTGACCCTTCCTAGCCTGCTAGGACTTGCTGTTGGAGGCTGTGCCAATGCCACACGTCCCCATCCACATGGTGAATGGCTTGGAGGAAGGCTTGGTCACCTGCATGGCAGGGCTGCCAAAAGCTCCATAGAGTTCTAACAGACACATTTGCATTGGTGGTTGCTTCACTGATGAACCCATAGACTTGCTGCAGTGGTAGAGGATGCTTGGCATGTGGTGGAGGAGACAGTCAGTGAGGGGAGGTGAGGAACTGACTCTGCTCCTTGCATTGCTGATGTCTTAAACATCAATCCACAGCAGGTGATGCAGTGGGAGGGCAAAGCCCTCCATCCGCTCCCACAGCCACCCGTGGATGGCTGAATCTCCCCTCTGAGACAGCACCAGGGATTTCTTGCGGTCAAAGTGTGTTTTAAATGTGCAGCAAAGCATTTATGGCTCTGAGACCTGGGAATTCCCACAGGGCTCAGGAAACGGAGCCGTGCTTTGAGCTTTGTTCAGTGAGTTTCAAACAGCTGGAAGAGGTGTTTGAATCCAGGATTAGAGGGGATGAAACACTGCTGACCTTCAGCTCCAACCTTCTTTCTGCTTTAAAGCCAGAGCTCACTGCTGAACCCATCTCCCACTGAACTCCTACTCACTGCCTTTGCCAAGATCTAACCCCAGATATCCTTTAGTCCCTCCAGCCCTGTTTATTCTCTGTCCTGCCCCATTGCCACTGAGCAAGGACCAAAGTCCAGGCTCAGCCTTTGTTACGCACATGAAATATTTAACAGCCTGTCTCATCGTGCCTCTGAAGGCTGAATCATCCACACGCAATTGCAAAGGCCCCAGGCTCTAGTCCCAGATGTTAATTTTTGTGCTCATTTGCTATTTCAGGCATGTTCAGAGGTCCCAGGGACAAGAAATGCAAGGTCTGTAGGACAGGAGAGTACCAACTGCAGCCGGGCCAGGAGCGCTGTGACCTCTGCCCAGAAAATCACTTCTGCCCCGTGAGTCCCCATCAGCTGCTTTGAGATCCCAGATTAACAAATACAGCTAAATAGGCTTCAATTAACACCTTTCTCTCTGAGCCTCTGTCCTTCAGCACAGGCAGAGCCCTGATGGAGGGAGATGGCTAAAACAATGAGACCAGGAGGTGGCTTTGTGCCACCCTGGAGCTGTCCAGTCTCACTGGGTGAGCAGGGGAATGTCAGAGGATGGTGTGCCCATTAACGAGGGGGTTTGCAGGGACACGGTGTGTAATGACACCTCCTGCTCTTCAGCCTGCTCTGGATGACACCACGGGGGCAGGCAGGTTGGATTTAACGACGGCAGGTTCATTGCTGGGTTATTTCCAATGCAGAAGTGCCACCTCCCTTCACACGTGTTACCTTCTGCAGCCTCCCCTGTTCAGTTACTTCTTCTCTTGGGCAGAGCCCTGATGTGAACCCAGTCAAGTGCCCTCCCGATGCCTTCTGCCCCCCAGGCAGCGCTGAGCCCACGTACTGCATGGAGGTCTTCCTCTACAAGGCAGGGGACTCCTGCCAGCTCACCCCCCTCACGGTGGTGCTCCTGGCCATCTGCTCCGCAGGCAAGTGCTGCTCTTCTCTGTCTTCCAGGGGTAAAACTGGACACCCCTCTGCAGCTCGGTGCCTTCACGTTGTGCCAGCAGCGCTCTGCATGGTGTAGTTCATGTTTCTGGAAACCTGGGGTTCTCATTAAGGACTCTGTGGCTGCTTTCGGTGCAGGTGATAGCGCTTGCAGCATTTGGAAGGAGGGATACTGATGTATCTGCTCTGAGCAAAGGCTAGCATAATGCTGAATGTTTGGTGTGTGTATGGACCCCAAAACAGGCATTTCTTAGCGGGCCAAAAGTAGGAAAAAAACACAATATCCTTTTGGTAAGAGACTTCCAAATTTCCTAAAAGCATTCCTCCTCTGTAACCCTTGGTGCAGCATCCAGCAGGCCAGGGTGCTGTCAGCTTGTGCACTGGTGGTTGTATCAGTGCTGTAGAGCATCTTGTGACCAACAGAATGGACAACCAGCAACTGCTGAGCATGTGGAGCACCCCTCTTCCCCTGCTGTAATTACCTTGGTAGGGTAAGCCCAGTGAGTGGATGTAGCTACCTGGAAGCTACACTATGAATACTCATTTCAAAACAACAACTGCGCTTTTGTAGTCTCAGCAAAGGGAAAAATAGGAGTTTTGCAGCTTTTGAGCACAGTTTAGGGAAGGTTTAGTCAGAGATAAGTTGAAAATGAGTAACTGTTAGTGCTGTGGATTGCTAAGGGGCAGACAAACAAAATGGGCAGAGGCCTTGTCTCCTGTGCACATGCAAATGAACAAACCCCACTGTGAGGGCCAAGCTAGTAGCTCTCGACACAAGATTTTAATCTCAAATTCACAGAGGCCAGGTTGGACAGAGCCTTGGGTGACATGGTTGTGTGAGCTGTCCCTGCCCATGGCAGGGGGGTGGAACTGGATGATCTTAAGGTCCTTTCCAACCCAAACCCTTCTGAGTCTACGATTCTGTACGACTAAGTCATCAGAGGATAAGGAAGCCTTATATCCATGGGTTCCTTAAGTATAACTTATATGCCTCCTGAAGACCCAGTCTCCAGTCCAGCTTACTGTTGTTAAAAGGCAGGAGTGGAGATAAAATAGATGTGTTATTCCCTGCAATGAACAAGGAGAGCAAAGCTGCTTCTCCAACAGCAAAGCAGCGCTGGTTGTTCTCATCAAACTCCTCTCTTGGCACCCAAGGAGAGGACTCCATGGGAGCAAAGGAGGAGAAAAGGGTGGCAGGGTCTGCAGGAGCTGTAGCAGCACTGAGTGACTGCTCATCTCCAGAGGGCTGGAAAGTCCTAGTGGGGCAGATGAGGGCTGTTGTCAAGCTGTGGCTTGGAGCCCTGTGAGAGCTCCTCCAGTGGCCCATACCCCTTGTGCCAGGCTGTAGTCCAAAAGTCTGCCACAACAGACACCATCTGAAGCGAGTATCGATTAGGAAAACTAGATTAAACTGAAGCCTATGGAAAGCCTGTCCGCAGAGGGACAACGGGCCATGAACCAGCACATCAGAAAAACAAGGCTGAGGGGCATTCAACAGCATTCTCAGTGAGGTCCTGCCTGTTGCAGAGCTTGCTATGAAGAGGGGAAAGGAAAGGCCCTGCACAGGAACCTGTGAGTATGTCACGGCTGGTCTAAGAGACCAGTTCTTTACCATGTCTGTTCATGCGACCTCCATCTGGATGTGTTTGTCTGGCCATGGTGCATCACAGCAACAGATCTGTGCTCTCCTGTTAAGATCAGTTGTCCCTGATTATGCTTCTGCCTGAAGGAAACAAACGACATCCCAGTACTTTGACATTTCCACGTCTGTGCCCAGCCTAAAAGTAAGTTTTTCTGACAGTCCTGATCTCAGTCTAGACCCAAAGTTAATCTAAGTTAGTTCTTGTGCTTCAGTGTAAGTGCTGAACAGAGCAAAGTGATGCCTCAGGAAGACCCTTTGGTAGGATCTGCAACAAAGAAGATGCCAAGGGGAAAATAACAGTTCCTTGGAGCAGAGAA